ATGTTAGAAAGCGCGGGAAGGTTTTAAAATGAAGGTAAATATCAGCGCTACAACCTAACAAAGCCGGAATTTTTGTTTTCAATTTATTTGTTTACAAAAAACTCGCGTTTTCTAAAAAAATTAATCTAGGTTTTTCGAAAAAAGTGTCTAAAAAAATTAATTTTTTTTTTCTCAAAAATCCGCCTTTGTTAGGTTGTAGGGGCAGGTCTTCTCTACATTTTGACACCATCCCGAGGTCCATATCATTAAAATTGAAAACAAAATCTTTGACACACGGACACCTACTTTTTGACCCTTGATGTTACAATAACTCGCGAAAAACTCAATATTATGAGCTTAAATTTTTACGGAGAACTAACAATGGTCAGATACATATTCAATAAAAATTTCAGTAAGATTGAGTGCTCTGGGAAAAAAAAATTTTAGAGGGGAGAGGGGCCCTTAAAACGATCTAGTAAAGTTGAGTGCATACAGAACTTATTTTATTCTATGCAATAGTTTGAGGTAAAGACAACTAACCAAGAACTGTGCTTCGGTGAATAGAATAGCAACAAATTTCAAATGTGTACATAAAACTAAATGACAAAATATATTGATATATAGATTTTACAATTTCGTTCTGAAATTTTTCTCCTGTTCAGTTCAGTTTATTCTGGCATAGCCATGGATACATGAAAAAAACATTGCTAGTACAAAAGTTTGTAACAAAACAAAACTGCGTTTGATTAAGAATCTAGGCAGATAACTTTGTCGACATGCCCATAGAGGAAGAAGAAAAATCCTGTTAAGACAGACCGTATACGCCTACGCAGTTTAAGTTGGTAGTTTTCTAGTGAATCATGCATATTTCAATGAAGAAGTAATACCTATATAAGACACTCAACCATTTGTTTTTTATTGAAAAAAATAACGTTTACTTAGAATTTGCGCTAATCATATATTTCGTTCCATATCTCGCTTTTAATTTAGCAAATGCTACTTTAGAAAATAAACATTTCATATACAAAAATTGTGGATTTTCATCATCAACGTACGTTGTCTCGACATCCGATTCTCTTAAGAGAACATTATATAATTCACCACCTTGTAATACACGAAATAAAGTGGTAACCCGATCGCTCATCACCAGTAAATTATTCTCAATGAGCGTCGCCAAATTACTTAATCCAGTGCCTTCTTTACATGAGACATGAATAAGATTGGCCGAATCTTGCTTTTGTTCAAGTAACTCAGTATCCTCACTCTGGCTCTGATCGTTGTTCGTATTTTCCACTTGTACAGTAGTAATCTGATTTTGTGAGCCATCTATTAAATCACATTTATTATAAACGGTTAACATTGATTTTAATTTTGAATCTGATACATCTAAATCTTTTAATGTTTGCATAACAGTTTTACATTGAACAATCCAATCTGGATGACTTCTATCGCAAACATGAATAATTAAATGAGCATCTAATGCATCATTTAACGTAGCACGAAATGCTTCAATCAATGTTGTGGGAATATCAGCTTAAACAAAACAACACATCGTAATTAAAGAGTATTTTCTGAATCTATTTTACCTATGAAACCAACTGTATCCACATATAGTACTTGCATTTGATTCGATAATACACCATGATGAACACTGACATCTAAGAACAGACCAAATTAGTGATAAATTTGTCATTCTAAATTATAGATGGTATCATTTACCTAATGTTGCAAATAATTGATTTCGTGGTTTTAATGAATCATCTCGCGTAAGAGCTTTTATCAACGATGTCTAAGAGACAATCATATTTCGCAGGAGTAAGAATGACATTTCAAAATCTAGTGAACTGACTTTAACTTTACTTTTCCAGCGTTTGTATAACCCACAACAGCCACTGTTGGTATGTCTAACGCTAAACGGCGTTTTTTGACCAATTTCCGTTGTTGTTCTAAGACTTGTAATTCAGCGCGTAACGAACGTTCACGTTCCTACAAAAAAGACGAGTATATTTCAATGCTGGAAAAATCATTACCATGATAATTTTTGTAATAAGAAACTCCTTTTAATGTTTGTTTGCCTACTTTGAAGAGCTCAGAGTCATTTTTTCTATAACGTAACAATGGAATTTCAGCAAGAGCTACTTGTAATTTGGCTGCACCACTCTGAGCATGTGCTTTAAATATTTGTAATACAATTGAATATCGATCATAAACCGGAACATGAAATTTTTCTTGCATACCGTCCAATTGACTTAAACTTAGACGATCAATTGATACGAATACAGCTGTTGCTTGACATTCTTTTACTTCTTGAGTGATTTTTTCAATATTTCCTGTTCCATACAAATACTTTGTACCACCCATTGTTTTTAGCGTATAAATGCCATATCCAACGACTTTCCATTTGTCTAACGTTTCTATGAGAGCAATCGATTCTGATAATTGCAAATTGGCTGTTGTCGATTGCCGTGATTTTGCTTTATACTTCATCGACGGTTGTAAAATATAAATATTGTGGCCCCATGATCTAATATGTAAAGCAGCGGTGTTTATCGATGTAAATTCTTTGTCTTCTAATAAAAATTGAAGTGTACGATCGGAAAATTCTTTGGTACATAAATGAGGTGTAAACGAGAAATAACGAGTATTTAAAAGTCGTGAAGGTTTGCATTTAGCAAGATTCAATAATGTTCTAAACAACATAATGTAAATCTGCAATTATTCATAGCAATTTTTAAATAAGACTAAAAATTACAAGAATCTCATGTCTAATCACCAACGTTACCAAAAATATTAGAACAGAAATACGATAAACAATCTGTTTAATGACTAAGAGCATACCAACGTACGCAACAAATAGTTTGCGAAAAAAAATCTTAATACAAAAAAAACAACAACAAAATATTAACTATCGTCTTTTGTCAAGTCTAAAAATGGAAATTGAAATATTGAACATATTTTATTTGCGAGTTGTAGCAATTGTTTATCCTTCATAAATGGTCCGATTAATTGTAAACTAATTGGAAAACCCTTTTTAGATAATTTCACTGGAAAACTCAGAGCAGGTAAACCTAAATGAAAAAAAAAGAATTTAGTGTTTTATATATTATATTAGAAAAAATAGACTAACCAGCAAGATTTACGCCGACAGTTAATAAGTCGTCTGAAGTAAAAATTTCATTTGTATTTTGATATTCTTCAAATGTCGGTGGATCATCGGAAACAACTGGCGCTAATAAACAGTCAATATTTCCAGTTGAAAATAGTGTGCTATAATCATGAACAATTGCTCGACGAACTTTTTGACTTTGAACAAAATAACTATCGTAATTTCTAAAACAACACCGTAATTAAGAACCAAAAAAATGAAAACAAACAAAACATACTCTTCACGTAGAAAATAGTTGCCAGCTAATATACGTCCTCGTACACGTTCACCAAGACTCTCATTACGTGTTTTAGTTAATATTTGTTCGTAAGTAGCGCCTTTTTCGACGTTTTTGGTTCGATAGCCTGAAAAACAAAAGAGTCTTAAACATGCAATTGAATTGGTTTAGCATTTGTTTGTATAATTTCACAGTACGATCTATATTTTGACTAGGGTATGTTCCAGAGCTCCGTACAGACTGAAGTCCATGGACTAAAAAAGTCTAGTTCAGTCCAGTCCGAGTCGGTGAAAAACAGTTTTTTGAGTCCAACCCAGTCCATGGACCCTAGAAAAGCAGTCCAGTCCGAGTCCAATAGATTGAGTAAATAGTCCAATGGACTTTGCAAACTTCTGTATGCTCTAATAAAAAATAAGTATTAAAAATTATATAAAAGGTGACCCAGAAGTCTTGTCTCATTCAATATTTTCTCAATATCTCGGTCAAGGTTGATCGACAAGTCTCAATCTTTTTAAAAAGAAGCCTCATTCAGTTCTCTATACAAAACATATTGAACATTTCTTTATATACTATAAGAATAAAAAAATATAAAGGAAATACAGGAAAGCTCAATATCGATTACTTTCAAACAGGAAAAACAGGTTTTTCAATTTCAGTCACTTATATTTTGCGATATGAAAAAAGAGAAAATGGCCATTTTGTAGTTCTCGAAAAGCTCTATCAACTGGCTATATTTAAGACTCTTCATAGGCTCAAGCGATTACGGGAGGTTTTTTTCTTTTAGCGATTTTGCCCAAAATCATCATTTTCTAACCGCAGTTTTGAGACACTTAGGCAAATTTGTGTGATTTGGTCCAAATCACATATTATGACTTTAGATCTGATTTACGTTGAAGCAAAATGGTTTTCTGTTACATCCGAACGGAGAAAGCCGAATAGCCCCGTTTCGTTTCCTGTGCCAAGCCGAAGAAATCAAATTTTCCCTTTTTTTTTACTTTTAGTAAAATCTTTGTTTGTGACAGGAAAAAAGATTTGTAGCGGATTTATGATACAAGAAAAGAAAGCTAATATTCTGGAACACCAGAAAATACATTTCGATTCCACTTTGATGCATAGCACCATGTTCAAAATAAATATATTTTGGTTGCGCTTTAGGTTTGAAAGTAATCGATATTGAAACTTTCCCGTATTTCCTTTATATTTTTTTATTCTTATAGTATATAAAGAAATGTTCAATATGTTTTGTGTAGAGAATTAAATGAGGTTTCTTTTGAAAGAAAGAATTGAGACTTGTCGATCAACCATGACCGAGATATTGAGAAAATATTGAATGAGACAGGACTTCTGGGTCACCCTTTTATATAGTGTATTTTTAATATTTACTTTTCATCTTTGTTTTTAAGCTTTCGAACAGTCTAATTCATCATCAGAAAAATGCAAAGCATAAACAGAGAGCTATAAAGAGATATGTTATTTATACACAAAACTTGTACATATAAGCGAACATATGAAATAGTCCGTCTGACTGTAGTTAAAGTAAAAGGAGCACACGATAATACTAACAGACAAGGAAGAGAAATAACAGAATAAAACTAAATTATAAAAAGGACTAAAAAATGAGAAATATAGGTTATTTCATTTTTATTTTAGTTCTTTGACTGACACATCCTTCTGCGTGCATCTCTGATTCTGCTCGAGTCATTTTTAGAATTTAGTTTTATTCTATTATTTCTTTTTCTTCTCTATTAGTATTCTAGAATCGCCTTTAACAAAACAAAAACAACTTGTCGTTTACCAATTTTTCCTTGATTCAAGTCCATCCAAAATTTTTCCAGTCCAGACCAGTCCATGATCTTGAAAGTTTGAGTCCAGTCCACATGGACTGGACTGCACTGGACTGGACTATGGACTCAGTGCAGTCCATACGGAGCTCTGGTACGCTCTTCGATTTTCGAATAGAGATAATATTAGCAGTAAAAAAGCATGACGAAAGTAGTAAAAATGCTAACTAATTATTTTGTAAATAACGTCTTTCAGAAAACGAATATCACATTCAAGACAACCTGAATTCTGGAAAAATACTGTAATAATTCATAAACATACCATATTTGATTCCATCAAAACGCGCCATATTTGACGTTATTTCACAACTGGCTAACACTGTATAACACGCAATTGAATATTTTGTATAAGGCAAATTACAACGTTTAATTTCATAACCAAGCGACGTCAATTGATCAATCACTTCAAACCAACATGAGCGATATTCATCAGATAATGATTCAATATCATATTCCTAAATGAAAAAATTGAAAATAATTAACCGTTATTTTTATGCTACGTAATTATTATTCCAATTTACTTCTGGAAGTCCAATGACAATTTTTTTCTTTTCTTCATTTTGACCGGATAATTCAATGTGCTCAAAAGGTTTCTGCAACAGTGTTGCATCTTCTTCATCAGGTCCAGCCATTGCATCTAAAAATATAATTCATATACCAATATTATAAAATAAGACCAATTAACTAGGACATACTCATTGTCAATACAATATCACTGATTGTTCGAGAAAATATTCCAGGTGAGTCAAATGAATTGACGAGTGAAATGAGTCCGTAGCGTGACAAAAGACCATAGGATGCTTTAAAACCATAACAACCACATCGTGCAGCGGGAGCTCTCACAGAACCACCCGTATCAGATCCGATTGAACTGAAAAAATTAATATTACTAATAAAATCGACGTTTCTTTACAGTTTGTATGCTTACATTGGAACGAGATTGGCGGCAACAGCAGCCGCACTACCGCCAGAACTTCCACCAGCAATGTGTTTTTCTGTTGTTTTCAAACTCCACGGATTAACTACTGGCCCCATGTAACCCCAGCTTGCTGTACTAAAAATCTAGAGCAAACCAATTTTTTACTTTGTATTTAGATATGGCATAGTATGCCTGTCATTTACCCCATTGAAAATTCATCCATATTTGTTTTGCCTATTACGATACCACCCTGATCAATTAAACGTTGAATAATTGTACTTGTGTAGGGTGACTGAAAATCTTTCAATGTTTTGGATGCACATGTTGTCAATGTGTTTGATACACAGTAATTATCTTTTACAACTAATAATTTACCATACAACGATGGTTGATTCTCTATAAATAACCAAACAAATATTCAATGAAAAAAATATCGATTAATATTTGAGGACTAGCTTAGAATTGTTGGATGAAGTTTAAATGGACTGACGTAATATATGACAGGTTTTTCCGCTACCTTTGATCGTTTGCTGTTTGTCTGATAAAAGTTTTTGTTCTGTTGCGCATGCCGTTTCAAAACAATCATTGATTAAAATATTTAAATTTTTATAACGCTGAAACGCACTTATAGCACGAGAAACAGCTGATGGGTTTTTGACCATTTCAAATTAACTAACGCACTGGTTACACGTCTAGAATAAAACGAACGAAGTCTACATAATTATCAAACATCAGCTGAAATTCAGACGGAAATAAATAGTTTTCAGAACCCACGCTGACTTGTTTCAGTGCATTGAAACACGTAAAAAAATGTTAAAATCAATGGTCATGGAAGCCCAAAATCGAGCCTAGAGCAGATTCAGTTATCAATGTATCAATTCTATTTTTATAAAAGAAAAATCCATAGTTCACAAGAATAAAATCCATACAAAAAAAATATATCAGTAGTAGATATCTGACAATATCACATAAAAAAATAGTATCAAGTTTCAGACGACGTAAAAAACAGGAAAAAACATCAATGTAAAGAAAAGAGAATCTGACTAATTTAGTCTGACTTTAGTTGTTTGTATTGCGTATGCTTTTCAATCGATCACTACACATCTTTGACTGGATATTTTTCTTCATTTTTTTTCATTTTGTTCAGAATTGCACGCGGTAAATCAACGTGACATTTGTCAGCCAAGCGTAATAAATAGATACAAACATCACTTAATTCATCAGACACATTCTGACGTTCAGTTGACGTCCAATCTTCAAACAATCAAATAAACAAATATGAGACCGATCATAGAATGTTAATTCTTTCTATAGTACCTGGCAAGCCTTCTAACACTTCATTTTTCCATTGACTTTAAAATAAAATGGTATTTGAAAACAACATTAACAATTTGATAGACTAAGATAAATAGCATATTCCTAGTCACCACGACTTTTTATCTCGATTTAACATCAGATGTATTTTGGGCAAAATAAGAGTATAAAAGAAGAACAAAAACTTACAATAATTCAGCGAGTTCTCCTACTTCACCAACTAAGGCTAATAATAAATTTCTTGGCGTATGATAGCGATTCCAATTTCTTTCATTCGCAAATTTTGCTTGTAATTTTCTTCTTAAAAAGAATGATATTCTCTTTTTTGATCGAAATAAATCATGTATAAACACAATAGTACTTACATATCTTCAAACGTAACATCAGACGAAAAATGATGTGATTGTGGATGAGATAAATGATTTATTTCATCAGGAATAGAGTCGGTTGATGTTCCATTTTGTTCTAAAAAGTGTAAATTGGCAATCATGTGCTCTCATCGAGAGATGTGTTTTAAGAGTATTTTTGAATAAAACTATGTGTTACCGTAATTATTCTTACGATTGTCGGCTGTATTCATTGTTGTGGAATCCCGTAGTAGTATTTCAGATCGAACAATATCATTAATTTCATGTTTTCTATGATCCATATCGCAGGCCAATAATGTTGATAATGTATTTCTGACGTCTTTCATTGTTATTATACTAATGTCAGCATCCTTTAAGACTAACTGAATTGTACAACGTAATTTCTCTTTGCTGACATTCTCCATGGTTAATTCTATGAAAAATTTAATCATAAATAATACAGCGGACATTTTTGCCTTAGCATGCGAACATGTAGTTTTCTAGCATATTCAACCTTTTCTTGGCGATTGTATATATTAGCGTTGTATTTACTATCATTGTTCCTCAAACGCGGGAATAAACTGAGAATGAAAATTTTTTCAAAAGTCATTTTAGGAGAAGTGCAAGTATTTTCTGTCAAAATCTTTTTTACTGCACATGGTTAGTTGCAGCTTGATGAGCAGATTTCGAATGTGATATTACTTCTGTTGGAAAATTCTTTGTTGAGGGAGAAAAACAGTTATTACTAAGGAATGTTGAAGAATCTATTGTAAAACTCGGAAGAAAATATGCGTCATTATGCCTCGTATAATGATTATAGTATGGATAAACGAATATGTGTGCAAAGTTTGAGCTCGACTGAAGCATGGCTAAACTTGGCGCACACGAACGAGTTACTGTTTCAGTTCGGAAAATTTATGGACCTGGAAAATAGCTTTTTCCTGCTTGTGTCAATGTTAAACTAGAAACCTTCTTAGTTCTCTACTGAAAAAAAGATGCCCAGATTCATATGTGAGATCGTTCTTAAGTAAAAACAGTTTTAACTATAATCATCAAGTTACCTGCCAATAACAGCTGCCGAAAATGGTCGCCGCCGAAATTACAAAAAACGATTCGTATGCGTCAGAGAGTTGCACTTTCATTGACTAAAAGAAATAGCATATTACTTTAAAGGCGATAGATGGTGCCTTACTACAAGTCAGATAGTTTCTCTCGTCCTGCCCGACTGTGTTTCAGCCAGTAGAACGTCAAAAACTGAATAAGACAATGTGCTTTTTATTCTTAGTAGCATAGCTTTGAGGACGAAATATTCTGTTTCAAGATACAGTTTCGCGAAAGGAGGAAAGCCCTTTTGTGATAAAATCGGTCCGTTAACCAAATTCAATTTTATTCATAGGGTAGGTACAATGAGAGTAGGGGAGTCAGACTGGACATCTTCGAAACCTTAGACTACTTCTCATGAGAAATTTTGCCACTTGAATGGTTTCTGAGCTAGAAACCTAGTGAAAATCATATTTACCATGTATTACCATTTTCATTTCATAGTTAATCACACCTATTATATACCACTCAAAAGTCCTTTTCCTCAGCAACATTTCTATATATAATACATTGAAAACTAATTGCATTTGAGCAGAGAAAAAACCGAAAGAGCATTTACTACTATCTGAGATGCGCGATTTGTTTTCCATAGCTGCAATCTTATCGTTATTTATAATTTATCACGTATCACCAAATCGAAAAATCTTAAAAGCTTCTTCAGTCAAAACCGATTGCAGATTCCATAATCGATTATCCTGTACGCGATAACTTTTGGATCAGGGTACTTCAGAAAAAAAATTTGCTCATGGTCTTGCTCAAAAATTTTCCAGAAAGTCACTGTATGGAATTAGAGGCAAAACGATGTTGAAAAATTTTTCTTAAGTAACACGATCCAAAAGTTATCGCGTACAGGATAATCGACTGTGGAGAAGATGAATCTGCAATCGGCTTCGACCGAAGAAGCTTTGAAGTTTTTCGATTTGGTGATATGTAAGGATTTTGAGTTTCCTGGAGGTGATACATTTAAGATGGATAAGAATTTGCTGAAGAATAGTCATAAAAATCTAAATAAAGAAAAGCAATTCTTTTATCAAAGGTCTGTTGTTATACAAAAGAAAATCAGATAGAGCTATTTTTACATTGTCCTGGTTAGATCACATCTTTTGAGCTTTTAACAGATGGTATAGTAGACAGATTTTTTCAACAGAATAGAGGGAAGCATCAAGATCTTGCAAGTATACTTGATATAAGAACTGTGTGAAAATATCGATAAAATAATCCCCTTTCATGAACAAGCTAAAGGGTTCAGTAAACAGAATATTTTGCTCAAAATAACATTGATATCATAATGATGAACGAAAGTAAGTTTAATACTACATATGAGCAGTGCTTAAAATTCTATTTCTTCTGTCAACACAAGTTTTATGTGTATCTGAGAACAGCAAACATTGTAAAAAATCGAGCTCATTATTGTCCTATATGAAAAGCTAATTTTAAGATTCTCGAAGGGCTCAAAACGAAATTTTGATCCTTTAAAAAACTTACATTGAGCTCTTTATTTTTTCAGAAAAATCGTACAATTTTTCTGAAAAGTGGAAGAATCTATGAAGAACTGAAAACCAGTTCTCTATATGAGACAAATGAAAAACTCATTTTTCTTTGTTTTTCGAGTTCTCTAAAAGCTTGTAGAATATGTATATTTTTACCATATACTGCCAGAATAACTGTTTAATCTATTACAAAGATCTGTTGATATAATGATCTGGATTAATTTTATCTACAGAGGGAGAAAGACATTTTGATCACTTATTTTTGTTAGCAGGGCTTATCTTTCTCTCAATTGCTGCAAGTGCATTATGTACTAAATCGAGCAGATGAATTTGTACATCATACGTGCATATAATAACTATGTGTGTTTAAAAACCAAATAGAAGAGAAGAGAGATAGAGAGAGAAAGTGTATACAAGATTATCGTATGAATGTGCCAATTAAGTTAATGTAAACAAAGTCTCAAAGTCTCTCCATATGTGTATGTTTGATAGAAAAAGAAGAACACACACTACACATATCATCAAACTTGTTTACAACAACTATCATTCTACATCCAACAGGGATAAAGTCAGCCAGCAGTGTGATGGTAAGTATTAGAGATTGAATCGGATCAATAATAATACTAGAAAAGAGCATAGTCTAACTCAAATATTTTCGAACCCGATCTAAGACTTTCATAATCGCACGAAAATTCTAAAATTGAGGAGAATAAGTTTATTAGTTAGTTCTGGTAAGAATTATCTTAAAATCATGACAGAATTTGCCGATTTGTAAGAACTGAATCTATGTATTCATGTATAATATTTATTCTCACCTTTCGAACTGATAGAATACGGTTCTAATTCAATAAGATTAGTGTATCAGATAGCTTTAGTTCACTCAATTCTGATGAAATTCTGCTAGAATTAGAAATAATATATTTACTTCAAGTCGTTGATTTCTGATAATTCCTAAAATTTCTATAAATTATAAAAATTTATAATTTGATACTATCGAATCTGAATTCCTCGATTTATGATCCGAACATTTTCTACGTTCCTTATCGACTTTGATTCGAATTCAAAAGTTTTTTCAAATTTCCGGAATAGCGCTATAATTTCATTAACAATTATTAAATTTCCCTTCGTATCTTAACTTTATTTACCTACAACCTTCTTCGTTAATGTTTTCCCATTGTGTGATATTTGTCTCAATTCTGTAACTCGATCGACACTCCCAAAAAATGTTTTCTTACTCAATCCAAAGTTATATCTATTTACTTGGATCGGAAGCGACCCAATCTGTTCGGGTCTTTTCTTCTTGAGTTGTAGACTCTACTTCTGTTTTCATCTTCTTCTTGATATACACATGGAAAAGACTGTTCGAATATAGTGAGCAATTACACAGAAAATGGCTTCTTTTCCTTGGCGTATTTTTGGGGCGTTTTAAAACAGAAAACGAGTTTTTTGTAGTCAAAAAATGTATATGGGATACGAATATATTTTTTATTGCAACAGATAGCACAGTATATCCAGGAACTATGCTGAAAATGCTTGTATATCTGGCAAATATAATATGAACACAAATATGTCCATGGTTTGTTATATAGATCTAAGCCGTTTGTTTGCTGTTGATGAAGATGAAGGTCGTTAAATGTTTATCATGTCTAATATGATGGTGATGAATATCAATTCAACTATCTTTGATTAGACAAAATCCTCCTGGTAGTGTAGCTGTGTGCTAAAGATAAAAATAAATGATTAAGTTTAGAGGAAAAGTATTACTAACAAGGTCAATGTTTTATAATCAATTCTTTTTATGAATTAGTTATGAATTCAGCAAGAGAGATCATATAAACAAAAAGAAAAGGGAGGGATAAAGAATCAAGTTATTTAATAATTAAATGTATATGTATATCTATATATGTATATATTTCAATCACGCATATCATCACAAGGTTAGAATTTATTAGATAAAGTAACGTATCGGATTATATACACTATCACTTTTAGTTTACTTTAAAAATAATAAAACGAGGATATAATTACATTTGGATCTAGTTAGTATTTCATCACACACAAACGATATAGTCAATCTTTTTTACAATACAATAATATACAGGTGACGAAAATTTTCAATATTATGTGAGTATACATTAATAAGACACTACACTATTATGTTGTATAAAACTTTCACTTCTTTTTTTTTTTTTTTTGAAGTATAATACTTTTTCCTCTTTTTAAACTACCATATATTAATATATTGATCACCATCAAAATATTTGAGTAGTAGTTCTGATCGAACGATCATAACTAAAATCTTACTTTCACTTTTCTATTGATTATACACTTATACAATTGATGTATACAATATATTAGATGACATTTTCTAAAAGAAATATTTACAATTATGACGATGTATTATGGAACAATATACTTATTCTTTAAATTAGTTCCGATCCTATGAGTAAGCAGTTTTTGTACTTTCAATATGTCGAAATGAGTTGATAATAACAGAGATATCAACACGAGAATGTATTAAAATAGAATTTCAAAAAAAAAAATTTTTTTCTTTTTATTAAAACCAAAAATTCATAAAAGAACATCGACGAATCGAATTTCAATACTCTTCTTATACGTTCGTTCGTATCTCTCTTTCCATCAACTTATTATTGTCATATTTTTCTAATGATCAATATTAAGAAGAAATAAAAAGATTGTATCAACTTAAATTTAAGAAAAATTATTGAGTTTTGTTTCAGTTGTTTTCATCTGTATTTTTGTCTTACAATTTTTATTGTAAATTATTGCTGATGATATGTGTTATTCGTACAGCAAGTCATTATATCTAATGA